TTCATCAGTCCTAAAAAGGAGAGGTCTGAGATAAAAAATAACTTGTCCTGGAAGGTATCATTGAGCCTCTATTATTGCATGCAGAACTTGCAATGGGCTTCCAGTTATGAGTTTTCCTTTATCATCTAGCAGTTTTTTGTAATATATTTAAAATATTTTTATTGATTTCAGAGAGAAAGGAAGAGGGAGAAATAGAAATATCAATGATGAGAGAGAATCATTGATTGGCTGCCTTCTGCATGCCCCACACTGGGGATAGAGCTTGCAACCGGGCATGTGCCCTGAGAATCAAACTGTGATTTCTGGTTCACAGGTCAATGCTCAACCAGATGGGCACACCTAGCAGTTTTTAATAGCTAAAGAAACACTGGTATAGTCTCACATGCAGAAATTCTTTTAAGGAAAGGATCTTGGAACATTCATCATAGCACTGAGTATCCAACTTCATATTTCTATTACTTATATACATATTAGAGGCCCGGTGCATGAAATTCATGCACTGGGGGTGGGGGGTGTGGGGGAAGGCTCAACCTGGTCTGTGCCCTCTCACAACCTGGGTACTCTCAGGGGATGTCCTACTGCTGCGGAGGTGGGAGAGGCTCCTGCCACTGCCACTGCACTCACCAGCTATAAGCCTGGCTTATGGCTGAGCGGTGCTTTCCCTGTGGGAGTGCACTGACCACCAGGGGGCAGCTCCTGTGTTGAGCGGAATCGGGTTAAAACCGGCTCTCCAACATCCCCCAAGGGGTCCTGGATTGCGAGAGGGTGCAGGTCAGGCTGAGGGACCCTACTGGTGCACGATCAGGGTCTGGGAGGGATGTGGGAGGTTGGCCAGCCGGGAGGGACCACAGGAGGGCCCCAGGGCATGTCCAGCCTGTCTCACTCAGTCCCGATTGGCTGGACCCCAGCAGTAAGCTAACCTACTGGTTGGAGCGTCTGCCCTCTGGTGGTCAGTGCACGTCATAGCGAGCAGTTGAGCAGCCTTAGTATATCATTAGTATATTACGTTTTGATTGGTTGAACAGATGACTGGACACTTGGCATATTAGGCCTTTATTATATAGGATACCACTAGACTATAAGCTCTTTGAGAGCAGATCCATGTCTTACTAAGCTTTGTTCACTACTTAGCACATAGTTGGCATAATGTATGTCCTCAGTAAAAATAACCTCTCATCTCATTGAGGGCAAGATATACTGATTCACACATGAACACTCAACACCCTGGACAGCTCCTTGCACATAGTAGGCCTTCACAAAATAGGTACAGAATGAATGAATTTATAACTATGCCTATGTTTACATTAGATACCTGGCACAGGAAACTTGGGCCTCAACTCTCAAGACCAAGATACAACTCTAGGTCACCAGATATTTGACCAGAGCAATTTCCTAAACCTCTCATTTTAAATGTAAAATCAGGGTTATAGTTTCTCATCACCCTCACATCAGACCTGTGGAAGGTGTAGTTATCCTAAGGTAGGCTTTGCCTAGGGACATGGTCCTGTTCTCATCAATCCTTCATGTCAAACAGTTCAAAGTTAGATAAAGAGAACTAATTAGAGAATAGTTGAATATGTCTTTTTTAAGAATTTGGGAATTATTGTGAATAGCAGGGGCTTGGCAAAGGTACATCAGAATGTGGTAGTCACCTACTAGAAAGCTAAGTTCATTTTTCAAATTACTGTGGTGACATCTCTTAGTAGAATGCTGCCCATAATCTTTGGGAACTTAAGCACTAGGGAAGACTTAAGCACTAGGTCTTGTAAAATGTGTTCTTAACTATGGTAGATGTCAAGAAGGGTGCTTTAGTTCAGCAGTCGCCAACCAGTGGTCCACGCACCACTGGTGGTCGGTCCGTGAGGTCCAAAAGGTTGGCAACTGCTGCTTTAGTTCCTTTACGAATCAGGTGAGCATATCTAACTGGCAAAGGCTGAAAAATATTAACCTTGCTAAGAGTTTAAGGAAATAGGCATCCTCAGATACTAAGTTACAAGTGGAACCCTTTCTAGAGATCAGTCAGGCAGTACTCAAAGCCTTGGAAAATTTACACAGCCTCTGGCCCCTACTTGGCTAAGTGATTAGAAGATATTTGTAAAGACTTTCCTATGAAACTTCCATTGCAGTGTTATTATGGAGTAGTAAAAAAAATAAAGAGATGAATGCCAAGGTCACCAAAACGTGGTCCTGTTGTAGACTGGTGGGATTTCAGGTGATTTCTTCCTGTTTCCATAAAAACCAACCAGCAAAATACCTCCCCCCTGCCCCCCAAATCAGAAATAATTTAGGTATTTGGTATATATCCTATTCAAGATTAAGACCCAATTCCTAGAATGGTATCTGACATAGAGCAGGCAATGTATAAAACAGCGGTTTTCAACCTGTGGGTTGAGACACCCCTTTGGGAGTCAAACGACCCTTTCACAGGGGTCGCCTAAGACCATTGGAAAACACATATATAATTACATATTGTTTTTGTGATTAATCACTATGCTTTATTTATGTTCAATTTGTCACAATGAAATTGGGGGTCACCACAACATGAGGAACTGTATTAAGGGGTCGCGGCATTAGGAAGGTTAAAAACCACTGGTATAAAACATTTGTTTAATGAATAAATGTGCAAACAATAGGAAATTGGTTAAATAAGCCACAGAATGGATTTACACATAGCCAACACAAATCACATCGTAAAACTACTCACTGATGGTAAAATTATGAAGGGAAAAAGGCAATTACTATTATCATCTCATTAAAAATATGTACCTTAGAAAAATGATTTTTTTGTTTTAAAAAATATATAAACACATAGAAACAGCATACATCAAAAATAAACACTGGGTGATGTTAATTTCTGTAGTCCTGGGACATATTCAAGCAGCCTGGACAATCACCTGCCAGGGATCCGTCCTGGGTGAAAAGTTGGCTCATATGTTTTAGGAGTCCAAGATTCTCTTCTTCAATGCTCTAAAAACTGTAAAGTGCTTACTGAAATAAAAGTATTTATTCAAATAGTCAAGTGAAAATCTGAACATAGAATCAGAGAATGACAATAACACTAAATGTTTAATACTCTGCCAAATGTTTTATATATGCTATTTTAATTAGTACTCACCATCTTGCATATTAGGCTTTACTACTGTCCCTGTTTCTTTCTTTTTTCTTTCAGATGAGAAAAACAGACCCAAAGTTATAATTTGCTTGAGGTCACACAGGCAGCTATTGAACCTAAGGCTGTCACACTTCAAAGCCTGGCTCTTAATCAATAGGAATGATTCCTAAGGAATAATTTAATTCAGCTGCTTTATTTTATAAAACAGGCAATTTTCCCATCATACAATGACATATAAACAGTACATATTCTCTTATGTTCCTCAGTATCTTTTGAGTTGAAACTCCATTTACTTAAAAGGCAGACTATGACCATTGCTTCATTTGCCCTTAAGCAACTAACAAGAGAACAGGGTTGCTATAGTTAGTGAACACACTATGTTTTATTCCAGGTCACTACAGCATAGCACAGAGCTATTTCCTTAGCACTGTATTTGTACTAACTCAGCCTCTGGCCTGGGCTCCAATTAATGAGACAACACTCTCTGGTCCCTAGGCATTAAACTTATGATCCTAGTCTATCTTAAAATGCAACTAGTGCCTGGCTGGTGTGGTGGTGGTTTATCATCAACCTATGAACCAAGAGGTCACGGTTTGATTCCTGGTCAAGGCACATGCCCAAATTGCAGGCTCGATCCCCAGTACAGGGCGTGTAGGAGGCAGCCAATCAGTGACTCTCTTATTGATGTTTCTAGCTCTCTCCCCCTCTCCCTTCCTCTCTGAAATCAATAAAAATATCTTAATAGCCATACATAGATTATGTTGAGCTGCCAGAGGCCAAAGCATAACAAGCATTTGCATGAAAGTGCAAAGACGACATTGGAAGACCAATGGACCTTGACCCCAACAGGGCTGGAATCAACACAAGATTGCTGCTGCTGTGATTGCCATGGCTGGAGGTGATTTCCTGACCTGATAATCCTTACATTGTTTACCAAACTTTACCTTTGACCTGCCTGTATGTATTGCTAAAGGGCAAATGTGTTTTCAAAGTGAATAAAAGTGGGCAGGCCCCAGACTCAGTGTTCCTCTTCATGCAAGAGGTTTCCACTGGAGCCCCCAATGCCTTCAAAATTCCTATTTCTTGTATAGTGTACTCATTGTGTTGTCAGCCCTCCTGCAAGTCATCCTGAACTCGCCATGAAGGTTGCGGCATCAAGCAATTGAGATCTTTCAAGCCAAGGCATTCTAATGTGCTCCAAAACTTAAACAAATTACTTTCCCAAAAGAGAGAATAATGGACAACAATATGAATTTAAAATATTAAGACTGGTGTTAGCCAGCATGCTCAGTGGTGAGAGCATAGAGCATTGAGCATCGGCCCCTCGGACTGAAGGATTGAAGGTTTGATTCTGATCAAGGGCATGTACCTCAGTTGCAGGCTCGATCCTTGGCCCATTGGGGCGCATACAGGAGGCAACAAATCAATGTGTCTCTCTCACACTGAGGTTTCTCTGTCTCTATCCCTCCCTTCCACTTGCTCTAAAAAAAAACAAAACAATGGAATATCCTTTGATGATTAACAAAATAAATAAATAAATAAATAAATAAATAAATAAATAAAATATCTAGACTGAAGGCTTGTCTAGTTCTTGCCTTTAAGAAAGTTAAAAATAAAAAACAGAACCTTAAGTGATATGATAATGGCTACCATCCTCATTCCAAATTGGTAATGGGTTATTTTTTACTTCCATGTACTGATTTTGAAGATTTCATTGGATGACAGCAGTATTTGCTTTCTCCTTACAACAAATACCCAAGAGTTCCCAGAATGACACAACATAAGAAATTTATATCACAAGATTTGTTTGTTCTAGATGCTTTAATATAAATAAGTAAGTAAGTAAATGTGTGACGATATAAGGAACACAGAAAGAAACACACCTAAAGATTTTTAACCAGGGAATTTCCTTTTTTTTTTTTAATAAATTATACTTTTACCATTTATGAAAGTTCATTAAAGAACTCTCCAAATTATTAAATCATCTTCATTCTTCAGAAATTATTCATTCACAGAGCAGACCACCTACAGAAAAAGATTTATTTTAGAAAGTCAGATTTCAAACATCATGCCAGACCTATGGAGTTAGGAAACTCAGCTAAGTACTGTTAACTATCTACCACAATTATTCTAAACCAGTCATGGAATAAAAGATCCACATTTTAAAATTCTAGTTTTGCCTAACTAAAAACATCACTGAAACTGTTCAATCCATCACAGTTTAATCTTTACAAGTCTTTGTTGATGTAAAACTACATATTTTCTCAAAAATATCTTCCCCAAAAAGCTAAGGCAGTTTATTTTCACAGATACTCAAACCCCTCCTTGCTGATTCAAGTATGTTTAGCAAAGATGTACAAAGCGAAAGGCAGAAGTTCAGCTCTACATACAAGGCACTTCCTGTGGAAAGTTACTCACTTCATCCCAAGGGCAAAATAAGGGTAACCCTTTTGAAATCCATTTGTAAAGATCAAAAGGGGAGAGTAATAGAGGAGAGGGTTGCAGGTCTAGTCAGGCAGTACCAGGCTTCTCTCCAGACAGCTCTCACCCACCTCCACTCCTACCCCCAATCCTTATCCCAGAAGACAGAGAACAATGCTAAAAAGGTAACTAAGTAATCTGGGCTAGCCAAATCTCCAAGTCCAATGCAAGTGCTTCCCTCCTCTAGCTAGTTCCTGTATTTGGTTTAGAAAAGATGAGCCTCATCAACAATAAAATATCTAAACCATCAATTTTCAAAAGGCTCAAAGGAAAATAAAGTTAAGGGAAAGGCCTGAGCAGAAAAGAAAACCAAAAATGAAGCTACTCAACATTCAAGAGATAGCAGCCCATAGCAAACACTGTTACCTCATTTGCTACTGACTGAATATCATATATGGAAACCTCTTGGCTATATCTTTGGGTGCAAAGTTCTTGACAGCCCCTGTTCTTCTCATCTTAGCATTTTTTTAGGGTCTGAAACAATATCTATTGAATAAATAAGTGTTTGAATAGCAGAAATAACCCTTTTCCTGGATTTTCTCAGGATCATATTCTCATACATTATTAGCTGCATGTATGTATGAAATCAGCATATTTTAAGTATATTTCAACCTACTATTAAGTTCAGTTAAACTTAATAAATACTGATTATCACTACCACTAAATGGTAGTCCTCTAATTTCTTTCAATGATTTTAGCCCCCTAAATGAGTTCTCCCGGTTCCTTCTGAATCCTAAAGGCAGAAAGATACTAGCTATTTCCTCCTGTTCACATTTTTTTTTAGCAGGTTCTAGGTTCCTCTAGTTCCTCTTTCAGTAAAAGAAGCAGTCATTAAGACAGAAGGAAGTGTTGAGAATCACCACCATCACACACCTAATTTTTCTTAAGAGTAGTTTTCAAGTCTCAGCTTTTACTACTATTAAATCTCCATAGTTTTATTTAGAATTATCCCTTCAGCTTAAGCCACTGGTTGTTAAAGAGGGACACACTTGAAAATTATCTAGGTAGGAGTTTCTGAACTAACAGGTGCAGATCGGGGCCCAAGCTTGTGAGTTTAGGAAAATATGCCTCAGCAGGTGATTATAAATTACACCTTTGGTTGAATGCAGCCTACTTTTATATTAATTCCAACCTACGTTAAGGTGGGGCTTAAGATACAATTAAGACCTACCTTATTTAGGATATAACATTAATACCTACTAAGGTTTTTGAATTTGTAATGTTTATACTCATTACTGGGAAGACCTAAGTTTGCAAAAATATTTTTCCCTTGAAGCTATCCTCAGAAAAATGTGGTTTAACTGTCTGAGAGGTATGAATTCAGTTAAGTTAATCTTATAACAGTGCAGACAGCAGTGTTGGATTTTACCCTACAGCCAATGACCTGGTTATATACCTATGCATTTCAACAACAGGTCTAATTAGCATTCATAATCAAGTTTTCAGATCATAAATCAAGACTATGCGCAATCCTAAAAGTGAATATGTTGGCAATAAAGCCTCATTAAGTGCAAGGAGTGAAGTGTAAAGTGCCCTACCTAGTGGTTCAGTTGGTTGAAGTGACATCCTGTATACCAAAAAGGTTGCGATGAAAAATACCCTCAAGTGAGGATTTAAAAAAAAAAAGAGACCTAGACTCTAGTTTTAATTCCACCATCTATCCACTCAACTTCAGCAAGTCTTTTTGACTTCACTGTTCCTCCATTTCCCCAGGGGGGTTAGGGAAATTGGACACCTGTCCCTCTTCCAAAATTCTTGGAAGGGCCCTATGTGGATTTAGATTGCTCTTCTAACCAGATTTCAAAAATACATTATTAGGTCATATATTCAACAGACCCCAACTGAAGGTTTGCTAGCCACAACTCCCAAGATATGGGGAATTCCTTTCTGGTTTCTATTTGACAAGTTTACAAAGCTTATTCACACATATATCATTTAATCATCACAACGACTCTATAAAGTCTTTTGGTCATATATTATTATCTCTGCTTTACAGATGAGAAAACTGAAGTTCAGAAAGTTAAGGATTTGCCCAAGACCACGCAACCAGTTAAACACCAAAGCTCTTGCATTTTCTTTTATAGACAAACTAGAGGCCCGGTGCACGAAATTCATGCATGGGGGGTGTCCCTCAGCCCTGCCTGCACCTTCTCCAATCTGGGACCCTCGGGGGATGTCCAACTACCTAAACCAGCAGTTGGACATCCCTCTCGCAATCCAAGACCATTGGCTCCTAACCACTCACATGCCTGCCTGCTTCATCACGCCCAACTGCCCCTCCCACCAGCCTTCTCGCCCCCAACTGCCCGCCACTGCAGGCCTGCTCGTCTCCAACTGTCTCCCCAAAAGACCTAATCACCCCCAACTGCTCTCTCTTCCTGGCCTAATCGCCCCTAACCACCTCTGCCTCAGCCCTACCACCATGGCTTTGCCTGGAAGGTCTCCTGGTCTAATTAGCATATTACCCTTTTATTAGTATAGACTAGGGGCCCAGTTCACACATTCGTGCACCTTTAAAGGAACTGTGGGCCACAAGGCTGTGGTGGGCACAGGGGCGGGTCTCGGCCCATCTTCCACGCCCCTGCCTGGCCCCTCCTGCCACAGCCCCGCTCCCACATGCTGACAGCGCTGGCCCCTGCTCGCACCCACTGATGGTGCGGAGTGATTGGGGACTGATGGCACAGAGCCATTGGGGCTGGCACTATCATCAGGGTGCGAGCGGAAGCTGCTGCCCCAATTGCCCCTCAGGAGCTGGGGGAGGTGGAGAAACCCTCAGGGTGATCAGGGCCAGCAGCTGCCACTTGCACACGCTGATATCACCAAACAATTGGGACTGCTGCCAGTCGCTGGCAGGGGTTGCGAGTGGGGCCAGCGCCAGCAGTGGGTGCAAGAGGCGGCTGCCAGTTCTTATCATGCCTCAGGAGTAGGGGGAGGTGGATAAGCCCTGAGGGGTGATTGGGGCTGGCAGCAGCTGTTCGCACCCGCTGACCGCGCTGGGTGCTGGCAGCGGGCACAAGCGGGACCAGCGCTGGCAGCAGGTGTGGGTGTCTGGTGGGACTACAGCACGGGAGCAAAGAATTTTCAGTAACCACCAGAGGCTCGCCCCAATGACAGCAACTAGTGTCCCGCCTTGGTCTGGTGCCCCCGCTCACCTGCTCCACCATCCCACTGTGGCTGACACCCGCCACGTTCCACGTGCGCCCCCTGGTGGTCAGCGCACATGATAGCAGCCAGTTGTTCTGCCGTTCGGTCTAGTTGCATATTAGGGATATATACACACACACACACACACACACATACATACATACACACACACAAACATAGAAATCACTCTAACTCTGTCCCAATAACATAAGAAAACTGGTTTCTCCTGGTCCTTTGTGAATATATGCTACTTATAACAATTGTACTACCGCTGTGATCTATATGAAGTCCAAGAAAAGCTTTTGGTGCTCCTAAAATTAGCATTTTCTAAAATCACCCTTTTTATAAAGGCAGGTTCAGCCCTAGCCAACAGCTTACATAACTGACTAAGAAGAGAGTTAGATTATGAACAAGTGTGGAGGAGAAACTGTTCCATGATGTGAGCGCTATCTGTCCTGCAAGCTGCATCTGGGCCAGAACAGAGGTTGTTTTCGGCAAAGTGCCCTTATAGATGTCTGATCTTAATTGATGTTCATTCTGACATAAACCAGGACCCCTCCCTGACCTCCCTCCATGTGCGGGTTTCTGCAACAGGTTGTTGTCCTGACCTGGTAGTATTCACACACTCGTGCCTGTACCTATGCCCCCATTTACCCTATATGCTTTCCTGGTGCCTGTCAAGGAGTATAGGGATATTTCATCTTTAAGCTGCCCCAGACAGGCCTTGTATGTAAGTTTCCCTTAATAAACTCTATTAATTACCAAACTGGATTGGCCAGCCTCTTCATTTGGTGTTTCCCTGCCCTCCACTTAGGGAGGTGTATTTTCAGTCTCAGGGCTCTCCTCTGGATGTGTGTATACTAACAACAAAAAAGCCACGTACAAGTGTTGAGATTCCATGTCTTTAAAAAGAAATCAATAGGTATATTTATACTTTTTAAGAACACAACCCCCATTCAAATTTACTTATTTTACAAAACAGTTCACCATGACCATCTAATCTAAAAGCCACTTTAGTATTTCATATATACACAGAGTAGATATACCATAACATATTTAAATAAAAAAACTTATTATGGTTCTCTTTTTATCAATAAAAAGTAAAGTCCAGCCCTGGCCAGTGTTACTCTCAGTGGTTAGAGTGTCAGCCCAAGCTCGGAAAGATCTTGGGTTTGATTCCCAGTCAAGGGCATATTCCTGGGTTGCAGGCTCAATCCCCAGTCCCAGTTGGGGCATGTATGGGAGGCAACCAATCAATGTGTCTGTCTCTCCCCATCCCTCCCTCCCTCCTTTCTACTCTCTCTCAAAAAATATAATTTTTTTTTTTAAATCCTTGGGTTAGGATTAACAAACAAAACAAAACAAAAAGTAACGTCCAAAGAGGATGTAGTGGAAATAAAACATATTAAGCTAGACATCAGGAGAACCAAAATTAAGCCTGAGCACTTTCAGCCTACAATGTTTTCCATTACACAGTGATACTTCTTATCAACCTGGGACAAGTTCCTTATCCTCCTTTTTATAGCTCAATGAGAAACACTGGCCATATGTGAAATTCCAAAGAGGCAGGAAAGAGGTGAAAGGGAAAGAAGCCAGGCTCTCTATTACTGTTATGTTGGTATGGGCTGCGGCATTAACTCTCAGCCATTATTAAATTAAAAGTGGTGGTGTGGTGTGGAAAGCCAAGGGCAGAGGGAGTCTGCCTGGAGACAGGTTCCAGTTCTGATCCTGCTAACCCATCTCAGGAATCATTTCATACTTATAGGACTTAATTTCATTTATTTATTCATTTAATAACAATCTCTAATGAACACCTACTATGTTTTAGATCCTGAGGATGTGACAGTGAAACAAAATTCCTACTCTCTCAGAGATCATATTCTAGTTGGAGTAAAACAAAGCAGATGATAAATAACTACATAACATGCAGGCAACGGTGTTAAGAATAACGTAGACACTAGCCACATGTGCCTATTAGATAAAACTAAAAATACAGTTCCTCAGTTTTAGTACTCACATTTCAAGGGTTCAACAGTCACATATGGCTAGTGGCTACTATACTGGAGAGTGCAAGTGCAAGACGCTTTCATTATCACAGGAAGTTTCTTGGACGGGGCTGGGATACAGCGATGGGGGAGGGATGTTATTTTACTTATTTATAAATATATTTTTATTGATTTCAGGGAGGAAGAGATAGAGAGAGATAGAAACATCAATGATGAGAGAGAATCACTGATCAGCTGCCTCCTGCACACCCCCTACTGGAAATCAAGCCCACAACTGGGCCCTGACTGGGAATCGAACCCATGATCTCCTGGCTCACAGGTCAATGCTCAACCACTGAGCCTGCCAACCAGGTAAGGGATGCTATTTTAGCTGGAATGTTGAGGGAAAGCCTCTCCAACAAGGAGGTATTTGAACAGAGATCTGAATAAAGTGAGGGAGTGAGTCAAGTTGCTACCTGAAGAGCTTCCAAATGAAAGAAAAATCATTTATTAAGGTCCCCTTCAGCATTAAAATTTAGATTCAAAGTTCTTCAAAAAATGGTCTGAGTTTTAACCAGTTAACTGTCACGCATCCAAAATGAAAACCATCCCCACACACCACGATATTTTCAATTCAATTTAAAAAATAAATTTGCAATGAATATTATAAAAATAAATATATTATAAAAATAAATATATTATAATTCTGGTGTTCTTGAATATTTTCAGCTGAAAATTTTCAGGAAAAATGATTTTAAAGTTGGTCAGGGCTGCCACTTAGAGAAAACAGTTTTTTTTATAGACACACATGGCGTGTGGGGAAGGTCTGCCGCTTGCGTATATAGATGCTTATGGCATACAAAGGGTTAGTTATTAGAATAAAGCACAGTACAAAAGAGAAATAGCAAAAATGTCATTTTTGTTTTGCAGAAAGCAATACTTCATGTGTTGCCTACTCTCTGTTTAAAAGCACTTATTAAAGACTCACAACATTAGAAACAAGGAATAGAATTTTTTCCCTTTAGTTCCTTTAAGCACAACTAAATATTATGAAATTCCTAAGCCATGATTCCTTATAAAGCCCTTTCTTAAAAGCTAAATTCTTCCCTTCCCAAATCCACCGAATACCTCTCAATTTATTAGTGTCACTTACTCCCTACATTAGAAACTGAAAAGTTATTTTTTAGTGCTATTTCCGCATGTAGATTAACCAGGTGACTACCTTGCAGATAAATGTGCCCATGACTGCAAATCTGTAGAGCATAGAGAATTTGAA